TGAGGGACCGGGTTCTCAGTTGGGTTTTATCAACCCCAATGCCAGACCATTTTGCTCGAAATGTTCTCTGCTTCGGGCTTTGGTAAATATATCTGCAATTTGGTCTTCAGTGCTGCAGAATTTCATCCATATAAGCCCTTTCTCAAAATTGTCTCTGAGGAAGTGGTGACGTATATCAATGTGCTTGGTCCTCTTATGTTGAACTGGATTTTTTACCATGTTGAGTGCACTAATATTATCACATTAAAGAGGCACACAGTCTGAGAATAATCCGAAATCTTTCAATTGTTGCTTGATCCACAGAAGTTGAGCACATCAAGAGGCAACTGCTACATATTCAGCTTTTGCAGTTGAAAGTGCCACAGAAATCTGCTTCCTTGTACCCCATGGATTAAGCAGGAACCCAGGAAGTGTTCCATCCCAGACGTGCTTTTCCTGTCCACCAGATATCCAGCATAATCAGNGTTTTACTAGTAGTTACGTAAGTAAAGTAACTACGGTTCTCCCCATCATACTCATCTCAAATTCACTCCCCATGAGTTTAGCAAATTCTTCGCAGAGAGAGTCAGTTGTGGCTCCAAAGATGATATCATCAACATACACCTGAACAATGAGTAGGTTCCTCCCTCATTTCTTTAGAAAATAGTGTTGTCAATCTTCCCTCTTGCAAAGCCATTTTCAAGAAAGAATTTTGACAACCTTTCATACCAAGCCCCGGGAGCCTGTTTTAACCCGTACAATGCCTTATCTAGTTTAAACACATGATCATGGTGATTGTGACACTCAAAACCAGGAGGCTGATTGACATAGACTTCTTCTTTCAGATAGCCATTTAGAAATGCACTTTTGACATCCATTTGGAACAGTGTGAACTCCATATGAGATGCAAAGGCAATCAGAATCCTAATGGCTTCCATTCGAGCTACAAGGGTGAATGTTTCATCATAATCAATCCCTTCTTCCTGATTGTAGCCTTGAACTACAAGCCTTGCCTTGTTTCTTGTTGTATTCCTAAACTCATCGAGTTTGTTTCTAAATACCCACTTGGTTCTTATAATGGTTTGATTAGTAGGTTGAGGAACCAGGTGCCATACCTTGTTCCTTTCAAATTGATGCAGCTCCTCTTGTATAGCTGTGATCCAGTCTGAATTTTTCAATGCTTCTTTTTTTATTTTTGGGCTCTATTTGGGAAAGAAAAGCTGAGAACTCAAGTGAGTTTCTTGATTTTGATCTGGTTTGGACTCCTGAGTCAATAGGAGTGATTATGTTGTCAAGTGGATGTGAACTTTTGAACCTCCAATTTGGTGCCTGAGTCTCATTGGTAGAGGAACCGGGCATATCTGACTGGGATTCTTGAGCGCTTCTTACTTCACAGAGTGGAGTTCCTTGGACTGCATCAGCAACTCTGTTTTCAGCTTCAGTTGTTGTAATCGGGGGACCAGGTTCCTTTCTAATTGAAGGAGATGTATTTGCATCTTCTTCACTGGATTCCTTGACATGGCTCATCATGTATGCCTTTCCATTTGCCATGTCAATTACTTCACCTGGCACAGATAAGGGCTCTCCATCTTGATCAACATGTCTGTCCTTTTCACATGAAAGGTGAGCTTCATCAAAAATCACATGAATTCTTTCTTCCACACATTGAGTCCTTTTGTTGTAAACCTTGTAAGCTTTGCTTTGAGATGAGTATCCCAGAAAGATTCCTTCATCACTTTTGGCATCGAACTTCCCAAGAGCTTCCTTTACATTGTTATGAACGAAGCATTTATACCCAAAAGTTCTTAGACGTGTCAGCTTGGGCTTCCTTCCATTCAGCAGTTCATATGGAGTTTTGTTCAGAAGAGACATGATCATGCACCTGTTTACCAAGTAGCACGCAGTATTGACAGCTTCTGCCCAGAAATACTTTGCGATCCCACTATCAATTAGCATTGTTCTTGCCATGTATTCAAGAGTTCTATTCTTCCTCTTCACAACACCATTTTTTTGAGGTGTTCTTGGAGCAGAAAAATTATGAGTGATGCCATTTTCAGTGCAGAACTCATCGAACTTGAGATTGTCAAACTCCGTCCTATGATCAGACCTGATGCAGGCTACTTTATTACCCATCTTCACTTGAATCTTTTTGACAAAGGCAACAAACACTTCAAAGGTTTCATCCTTGGTCCTGAAGAACAAGGTCCAGGTGAATCTGGAATAGTCATCAACTATTACAAAGATATACTTCTTTCCTCCTCTGCTTGGCACCCTCATAGGTCCACATAGATCCATGTGAAGGAGATCAAGTGGCCTTGCGGTACTGACTTCCTTTTTGGGCTTGAACGAAGATCTGAATTGCTTCCCTTTTACACATGCATCACACACTTTGTGATCCTTGAAGCTTGATTTGGGCAGACCACGAACCAGGTCCTTCCTTACTAATTTGTTTAACAACGTGAAGCTTGCGTGACCTAGCCTCCTGATCCACAGCTCAGTATCATCATCAACAATGCTTAGGCAGCATAGATCACCATTATTCAGCGACTCAAAATCAGCTACATAGATATTCTTGTATCTTTTTGCCACTAGCACTACCTCACCCGTCACTAGGTTTGTGACTGTACAGATTTTTGACAAAAATTCCACCTTGTTTCCCCTGTCACAGATTTGGGAAACGCTTAGTGAGTTGTACTTCAATCTATTCACATAGTACACATTTTCGATTGAGTGAGATAGAGAGACTTCCCAATCTTTCCAACTCCCATAGTGTATCCCTTCTTGCCATTCCCAAAGGATACACTCCCTCCTTGCAGGGCCTTTAGTGAAAGGAAATCATTTGTACTTCCAGTTATATGCTTTGAGCAGCCACTATCCATGTACCATTGTAGGCTTCTTCCTTTCACTTTTCCTTGCACAAGAAGATGAGGAGTTAGCTTTAGGAATCCAACCCAATTTGGGTCCCTTGTAATGAGGAAAGGGGTGAATAAGGGATCTTTTGGTCCATGCAGGTATTATGCATTTTTTAAATGAGGGACCAGGTTCTCTATTAGTAGTTATTTTTTCAGTAAAGGATTTGTTTTTCTACTGTGACTGACATCTGGCCTTACAGTTTTCTTTAAGGTGCCCATTGTTACCGCAGTGGGTGCAAAGCTAATTGTCAGGTACAGTAACGTACTTGCTATGAGGGTTGTAAAGAATCTTTTCCCTTTGAAACCCAATCCCCTGCCTGTTTCCCCCATTGTTGGAGTACATGGCAGTGATAGCATCAGATGACCATGTCTACTTGAGTGATTTTTCAAGATCACTCTTTACTCTACCTAGTTCTTCCTGAAGTTGTTTGTTTTTCTCAAGCTCAACATACAGACTAAACTGCACTGAATTTAGATCATTTTCAAGCTTAATGTGTGCCTCGCTTGCAACTTCCTTTCCTTTTTGATAATTTTCAGCCCTACTTTCCATTGTAGGTTTCACAATGTTTTCCTTCAAGTCCATTACTACCACTAAAATGTCATCTCTTTCTTGTCTACATTTTCAATCCCTTTCTTAAAGATATTTCTTTCTTTCTTCAGGTTCTCAACTGACTCTCTTAGATCAACTACAACTATTACTAGTTCATCTCTAGAATGTTCTGATTCTCCTAGTTCAACTTTTAAGACATCTCTGGCATTTATAAGACTATGATAAACGTCGATTAGCACATTTTCCAAAGACATGAGTTTCTTAGGAGAATAAGATTTTAGATTTCTCTGAACATCCAAAAAATTTACCGCATAATCATCGCCATCTTCATCATCAGACTGGGCCATCAAAGCAAAAATTGAGTCATACTCGGTAGATTCACTTTCTACTGCCATCATAGAGCTATTCATCATCTTCTCCAGGTTCACTTGAAGAATCTCCCCATGTAGCAAGAGCTTGTCTCACGACATTGTCAGCGACGTTTTTTCTATTGAAGCGTCTGTCAGAAGCTAGGTTCCTTTTTTGGCTGCTTTGTCAGAGTTGTTCTTGTACTGAACCTGCTTTAGGAGAGGGCAATCCTTGATGAAATTTCATGGCTTGCCACATTTATTACATATGTCATAATTCTTTGGCTTTCTAGAACTTCCCCTTTTTGGAATGCCTCCATTCCTTCGAACCATCTTATGGAATCTTCTTGTTAAGTATGCCATATCACCATCTTCACCACTTGACTCGTTGTTTTCTATTTTGAGGACCAGGTTCTTCTCTTTCTTGGGCTTTCTTCTTTCACTGTCTTTCTTCTTCTTCTTCTTCTTCTTCTTCTTCTTCTTCTTCTTCTTCTTCATCATTTCATATGTTTTTAGATTGCCAACAAGCTCATCAATAGTTAGTGTTTTAGCAAATAATTACTAAACCAATCAAGAATAAATTAATAGGGTTAATCTCAGTTGAACTTAATAAATCCTAGACCAAGTAAAACAAAGTTCTTGTATGACGAATTGGGTTTAGGAACATTAAATAGCGAATTTAATGTGCTATGATTGGCAAGACATGTAATATCATAAATGTATAATAAATGTGAGAATGATAAGGGTTATAGTGTAAAGGAATTGTCACCCAATGATTGTGCGATTGGGCATTCCCTTTCTCTGACGACGTGGAAAGGTAAGTAATCAATCTGAGTTATGGGATCTTGAGATTTGTGGATAACGATTGAACAACATATGCTTGAATAATGAGAATAAGACAACTCTTTCGTATATTCCTCTCTCAACTTTACAATATGTCTCAGTTCTCAAAAGGGGCAGATCCCCATTTGTTCCCCATCTCTTCCTATTTATAAGGGACATTCCCAAAAAAACCCTAAAAAGTACAACATAAAGAATATCCAAAGAAATATTCTTCCTGTCTATTTCTGAGTTTAAGTTATCGTTACTATCCTATATCAGCTGCCTGCTTTTAGTCGTCGGCCTTCATTTGGACGGCCGTCAGTCTCAGTGTCGTGGTCAACCCAGTCCTATATTTTTACTTAACCGTTATCGTGGTTACCAAATTTGGACCTATACAGTTAGCTCTTGCAAGTCTGTCGCCTCTGTAATGGCATTCACTTTGCTTTCCGAAGAGCTGGGTAGCATGCTTAGGATCTTTCTAACCAGTTTGTTCCTTGGAATAGTTTCACCAACGGAGCGAAGCTCATTAATGATGGGGGTGAACCGGGTATGCATTTCTTGGACAGATTCATTCTCTTGCATCCTGAAGAGCTCGTATTCAGTTGTGAGCACGTCGATTTTGGATTGCTTGACTTGTGATGTTCCTTCGTGAGCTGTCTGAAGGGATTCCCAGATTTCTTTGGCTGACTGATATGCTGATATCCTGTTGTATTCATCAGGTCCAATACCACACACTAAAATTTTCGTAGCACGAAAGTTCTTCTCTATGGACTTTCTATCTGCATCATTGAATTCTTTCCTTGTCTTGGGAATGGCTACCGGTGGGTCGCCAAGGTTTTTGGTAGGAACAAATGGTCTATCATATATGACATCCCATAGATCAGAATCTTCACCCATGATGAAGTCATGCATTCTAGTTTTCCACCATCTACAATACTATCCATTGAACCTAGGTGGTCTGTAAGTAGACTGGCCATCTTCGAAGTTTGGAGGAGCAACCATGATGATCCTTTCTAGGTGTTAACCTGATAGAAAGAACCTGCTCTGATACCAATTGATAGAATGTAAGGGTCCACCAACTTCTATAGAGAATCAGGTTATCTATCATATTCAACAACACACACACAAAGCACAAATTAAATGGCAAGAGGAATTTTACGTGAAAAATTCCTAGCTCAACGGGATTAAAAACCACGACCTACCCTTGTAGGATTTCAACTTCACTACTGAGCAACTTTTAGATTACACCCTATGCAACCTAGGAATTAAACTCTTAATCTCTCACTAACTTGTAACACACCTATTACAAGACACTTTGCAATAACTCTATTACAAAGACTTTGAAACTTGACTAACTCTAGCCAAGACTTAAACACATAGGTTTAAGGTTTACAAAGGTTTCCTACGGAATGATTCTTAAACAAGCGAGATAGGAATTTCAGTTTAAGATTATTACAAAGTTACTACTCAACTAAGGACATATAATAACTCTATGTGGGAACTGGTCCGTAGTTGTTTTATTCTTTGTTCTTGAAGCACTTGAAACTTGCTTGCAGGATAGTCACGTGAATGAGCTTGTCAAATGTTCAAGTGAAGTGTTTTACCTCCCTTGAATGCATATATACATGTATGACATCATTTACAATGATGCAAGCAAGGTAGGTAAAAAGCCTTCCCTGGAAAGTTGACTGCAACACTGTTCCTGCACTATAGCGTGTGCAGGCAGCAACTTTCCAGCTGGAGAGTTGACTTCGTACATCTCCTCGGGAACTGGTAGGGACATGTTCCCTCTACTGTTCCTTCTACTCTAAAGAGTTGAATCATGTCCCATGCTGAGCCCAACCTGGAACCTTGTGATCTTAAGGTCTTCTAAATGTGTAACAGGTTCCTTATCTGGTTCTGGATAGTAAGTTTGTTAGATCATCAAAACATAAAGTAAAGTACTTATAACCAAAATACTTGTAATCTATCACAAGTATGGTATTGTTTTTATACCACACTTAAATTGGAATAATAATCACTAGATAAAAAAAAAATGATAAAGTCCATGAACTAAACATCGGGAAAATGCACAGATAGTCAATTTAAGGACCCCATTCAAGGCATAGCCATAGCTAAATATATTTTTGCAAGTTAGCCCTTTTAAATCACCTTCAAATATAAGGGTTTGAAGTTTAGATAGTTGCTATATTTTTGCAAGTTAGCCATTTTAAATCACCTTCAATTGCGGCTAAATTTATGAAATATTTGATATTTTCGAATGAATTTTGGCATAATAGTCCAAAACTTCCAAAAATTTCGAATGAAATCTGGCCCGACAGTCCAAAACTTTAGACATTTTCGAATGATATTTGGCTTGGTAGTCCAAAATTTCTAACATTTTCGAATTAAGTTCGGTCGCATTTTCTTAGATCTCACAAATGATACTTCCTATTTCACACTTTGTCATTTTAATTAATGATGCTCCCTATTTCACCAATGATACCTTAATTTTATTTATGCCATTTTCCTTCATTTAACTAATGATTCCTTATTTCAACAATACCTCAATTTCATATATGTCATTTTCCTTCATTTCACCAATGATACTTCAATTTCATTTATGTTATTTAAGCATAATGTTACCAAAGTAGATATAAAGTTTATGGGACTTTATAGATATGGAGTTTAATTGCACAAAAAATATTTTTTAGAGATTTAGGAATTTATGGGATGATCAATTGTTTCTTTTTATTCGGTGCAATAACCAAAGCTTTCGCCAAGTAAGAATGGATCAAATTCATTAAGTATACCGATATTGATGTTAATAAGAGCCAGAGGAATTTCTTCTTCTAATTTCTTCCTTAGTTGGAAGAACTAGTAATCTAAGTTTCTAAGGATATACTATATTTCTAAATGATGCTATGCAAATAGGTTTTCCCGCGAATATTTCACCCAACATATATTCTATAAAAATATATTCACAAATAATTTGTAATCTTCATATTATAATGGATGAAAATCACTTACATCTCTCACCTTACTTTAAAAATCAATCTCATCCTCCAACTATGAACAGTATGATATTCTCATCCTTTTGTTTTATGCACTTATCTATTTTAAATTATGCTGTATACTTGTAATTTATGTTCACTAAAATTAAATTCATTAAAGTGTAAATAAATAATATTCTTAGGAACTTGTTATATTTTTTAGCTCTATTTTAATGATTTTTAGTATGATATGCATTGAGTATATGCTTATATATATATATATATATATATATATATATATATATATATATATATATATATATATATATATATATCACTCTCTTCTACTCTCAATTGTATAAATAGTTTTTTTTGAGTTTAGTTTGATAAAAATAAGATTATTGATACAAGTAAATAATTTTAATTATATTTTTTGGTTTGCTAGTTTACTTTATTATTTCATGTTATCAAATTATGTGTTTGGTTCTTATCTTTACCTTTTTAATTTATAAAATAAAATTTATTTATTTTATAGGCAAGTCTATAAATTAAATTAAATTATTTTAAAATATCATGATATTAGAAAGAGTAAAAAGGAGAAAGATAACGATTGATAATCTAAATGGTGGGAATTTTAAAAATTCCTTTTGAGATATGAGGAAAAGAATGTTAATTATAATTTTTAAAAGAAAGTTGGGAGTGTTATGAAATATAATAATTATATTAGTGGATATTTATAACTCCTAAATAAGTTACTCCCACTACTCTTCTCCATTATGTAGATAATTTTCACTACTTCTCACCATTATAGTTGTAACTCTCACACCTCCATAACCTCCCCATGATCTTCCTCCATGATCTCAAATGTTTAATGTCATGTTTATGTCATTCTTTTGTATACCTCTATGTAATCCTATAAATAGAGGGTTCTGGCACCATATTGTATATACTTGACACACTTGAAAGAAATAAGAAGCTCTCATCTCTTGCTCTTTATATTCTTGTCTATTTTCTTGTTTTATTACTTTGAGATAAGTTTCGTAACACGTTGTCAGCACGAATTGCTATATTCATTTTATATTTTCTATAAGAAATGAAAGCCTTCCATGGGAGCTACAATTGCTTTGCTGCTTTGGCAAGTGATAAGTTGACATTTCATGTCGTTGGTAAGTTAGGCTATAATGCCGAGATGGGGCATTGCTTATAATAAAGTAGTTGTATTGAAGATCTAACACATTTCTGCCGCCACTTTGTTCAATTGTTTTCTAAGCCACCAAAGTAATCGACAGGTAATACTACAGATGATGTTAGGTATTATTTTTATGATATTGTAAAATTTATATTCTTTAGGTGCACTCATAATTCTTTTTGTGGTCAATATGGAAAAGTAACTTACTTCTATTTTGGCAGCGGAAATATATATTACGCTAATTAATATTTTGTTTTAGACACATGAAAGATGATAATAGTTATATCATGGTTCATACTAACTAATTAGATGCACATATCATCAATCTAAGTTGATTACTTCTTCAAGAATCATATTTAAAAATAATAACTTTGAGGAGCAACAATATGTGATGTGCTTTAATATCCAGATTGAGATATGTGATTGTATGACTACCCGACAATGACTTTCTAGATCTTCTGATAATATAGTTCATTTTTTGCATAAAAGTAAATATGTGATAAGGTGATGCAAATACTATTAAATTTTATTTATCACTAGACGGGTTGGAAGTGGTAATATTTTAAAGTCTTATGATGACTGATGTAATGATGCAATTGATTGAGGGTAAGACGGTGGGTTCAAGTCCCAACGCACTATGTTGATAAAAAGACGTTGGATTCGAGTTCCAACGCATTATGGCCTAACATGCCTTTATATGGGTAAGGTATTAGGTTTGAGTCCCAATACACCAAATTTAATGATGACTAATGAAAATAATTTTTCATGACTGTATGAATGTATGAGGGCATGGCAAGCGACGAAATAATAATGGCAGAATACATAACTGGACCCTTAAACTTGGCATTTTTTGTCACTTGGACACTTAAACATAGAGTTGTTCTTATTAGGCTCTTCAACTAAATCACATCTGTGCCAATTAGACACTTGTAGTGACATGATTGAGTGCGTGGGTAAAGGCGTGTGAACATGAGAAAAATGTTGTGGATTATTATTTTATTATTATTATTATTATTATTATTATTATTATATTCTAATATATTATTTTAATTAAAGCTAACTTTTACCCTACATTTTATTTCTCTTCTTCTTCCCGTGAACCCAACATTTTTCCTCTTAATTGTTTAAAAAAAAAAAGTATAGTGTACATGGATTTAACTATTCTCATTTGGCATGCTTGTTGTCTTTACACGGCACTTGTAAGCTACTAGAATAAAACTTTATAAACTAAAACACACAAGTGGTTGATAGAAGTTGCATTTTGACATTAACAACTTTTAACAAAAATAGTACTTCAGCAAAGCAAAGCTGTCAAATATACAAATGCAGCTATTTCATAAGCAAAGAAGAAAGCCTTAAAAGCTATCAAATACACAAGTGCAGCTAATTACATATCCAACGTTAGTTTTTATAAAATGGTCTACAAAGTGTATAATTGGCATATATGTGGTTTAGTTGAAGGGCCTGATAGGAACAACTTTATGTTTAAGTGTCCAAGTGACAAAAAAAGCCAAGTTTAACGGTCCAGTTATGTATTTGAGCAATAATAATTGTCATCACGTTTGTCAACACTACTCTTCTCCATTATGTAGATAATTCCCACTACTTCTCACCATTGTAGTTGTAACTCCCACACCTCCATAACCTCCCCATAGTCTTCCTCCATCATCTCAAATGTTTAATGTCATGTTTATGGCATTCTTTTGTATACCTCTTTGTAATCCTCTAAATAGAGT